GCTATGAGAATATCGTTATAACACGACAGATTAATACAGAGACAGGTAAAGTATGATACATGAATAGATAAGGTAGATAGCGAGATCAAGTTATGACAATGTACGGACATGGACTACACGTAAAAGCACATGAACATTTCATGTGAGACTGCCGGGTGGAAGTGATCAAGCGGAATTGGTCACCATCACGGTATCCTGAAGATGGGGTATCGAAGCCTATCGCCACCCAATACATTTCCCATTCTCTCTGGATGACATGNNAGCAGGTTGGTGTCGCTTACTCATTCCTGATAATTGCTTGTTTAAATACGCATTACAGAAACGAAGTAAACGAACGAGGAATAAGGTGTGTAAGAAGACTTACGCTGCCATTGTTGTTGACCGGAGACTCGGAACGAGACGGGGTTTCATTTGACCGGGATAAAACAGAGTCGAGTGGCTTTCCCAGAAGTAGGCACAACTGTGCGATCCTTGCTTCAAGCAAACGTCGATGCGAAGCCAATGTTTTATGACCGCGAACTACATCTGAGACAACTTCCATGTGTTGCAGCCTTGGTCGCGGCAGGCGCCATTCCCAACGGAGGAACAGTCCATGCCAGAGTCTGTAGAAGACGTGAGAAATACCGTTATTTAGTGACAACTTAGGGGGTGAGCCGCTCGTTACCGAAGCCTCAGGAAGGTATGGACGAACCAGCTTGATATACACGGTTTAGGAAATCAAACATGGCAATGGAAAAACATAATCGGTGTTTGCAGAACATTTTTTATATTTTAAATTCCAGAAATATGCCCATTTTAACATGAGAACACACATTTAGAGGTGAAGAATTCTTTTCATTGATTCATCTTCTGGCCTATACAGATCAAATAGGAAAGTGGCATTTTGAACGGGGATAGTCATTCGGTCATTCAAAAGTCACGGTGATTGATTTGGAAGGGAGAGGAATGGGGTGGTGCGACGTGTTTCACGCCCCTAGGTCACCACAATGCTGCAATCAAACTGTGATGTCTCATCCGTGCAATCGATCTTGAGCCACGGTAGTTGAATAGCGTGGGCCATTCTCTTCTGTGCACATAGATTGCGGTTGAATAAACGAATGCCGTTCTCTTCCGCAGCGGCTAGGGTGTAGAGACGCAGCGAGGTGTGGTGGTACTCGATAGATGACTTTGAAGACTGATTCAGGCTTAACTAGATGACCTGAGTCTGCTAGGTGAACGAGGATAGCGCTTCCTGTGACACCTTTTCTACCGTGTTTAAGCCAGCGTGGGCAATGCTCTTTGATCCGCTGAGACAGTTGCCTCGCCCTTCAACCAAGTTAAGCCTTGTCTGAGAGATCTGTAGAAGCCGCTACCTAAATATGAGCTCCGGTCACGTACTTGAGTTGGAACTAAGATGCATTGCCTATGGGCAGACGTTTGAGACTAAGGCTCAGATGAGGATGTCCAAATAACCACACACACACAAGCCCCCGTTTGGTGAGGGCTAATGTGAAGCATAACGATCTCTTAATTCTGGGGCAGTAAAGAAGAAGGCTTTCTTCCCATCAGCCCAGTTCTTTTCCACTGTCTGAAATAATACGAAAAGTACCCTGACGCCGCCTGACACCCGCAAGAGAGAGGAATATACACGAAAAACAAGCCGGATTCCGACCAGGTCACGGATGCATCGACCAAATGTTCACTCTGCGTCAAGTCCTCGAACTGCGTCACACACATCGTCGGCCAACAATCGCAGTGTTCCTTGACCTAAAAGGAGCCTTCGATTCAGTTGACCGTGAAGCTCTTCTGGGGTCGCTGCTCCGCAAAGGAATGCCGCGGAAGTATGTAAACCTGTTGAGGTCTTCGTATCTGCATACTTCTGGTAGCGTAAGGGTCTACGGTGGGCTAAGTAAATTGCTCGAAACCAGGAGCGGTGTCCGTCAAGGGTGCCCTATTTCGCCATTCCTGATCAGCTTCGTCGTATACGAAGTACTGGAAAACGCACTTATTGGTCTCCAGAACGTAGGTATTGAATGGGAAACTGGAGAAAAGCTGTGCGATTTAGAGTACGCTGATGACATCGCATGCCCGTTCGAATCTACGGAGAATGCGCAATGCGCTCTTTCAAGTTCCGTAACTCCCTTCGGTATGTGCTTTGCACCTTCAAAATGCAATGTGATGCTACAAGACTGGGTGTCGTCTACCCCAGCGCTGATGCTTGATGGTCAAGAATTAGCTGTAGTGGAATGTTTCACCTACTTAGGTAGCTGCGTTTCAAATGACGGTTGCATAGTCAATGAAGTAACCGCTCGCATTTCCAAGGCTCGCCAGCTTACGCAGGACTGAAACACCTTCAGTGCAAACGCGGAGATATTCGTCTGCATATTTGACTGCAGATGTCTACGTAGTTTGGCTCGGGTTGGATGGAGCGAGCTTGTAAGCAACTCTGAGGTGAGGCATCGCGTATTTGGTAATGATTCGATGGAGAATTCGTTGTCCCATCGAATTCAGATTAGTCGGCTTCGCTGGTTAGGACAAGTATTGCGCATGCTCAACCATCGTCTGCCGCACCGCGCCTTATTCGCAGTTGCGGCTCCAGGTTGGAAGAAACCGCGTGGTGGTTAACAGATGACGTGGAAGCGAGGCATGAAGAAATGCACAGAGCGATTAGGTAGAATCGGTGTCTCCCGTCTTCCAGGTTGGGGTCCGAAAGACTCTACGACTGGTTGGCTGGAGACATTGAAGGATACGGCGACTAACCGACAGCAGTGGCGTTCTTGTTGTCATTCTTTACAAGGCAGAATGCTTGCAAAAAGGTATGCATAAACACTTAGATTGTGTGCTCTGTGTGTTGAACATAGAGGTTCTTTTTCTTTGCCTCCTTCCAAGTAGGCCCAATCCCTCTTCATCTTGTGCTTTATCACTTGATATGTGTACATTGTGAGCTTGGCAGCGATCAGTGAAGCTCGCTTAACTGTATCCTGCTGTACGATGACGATGATGATGATGATATATTCTGAGCAAAACACAATGACTGATGGATTCTCTTATTGGTTCAAAACAGTAGCACGCATTAAACATGACGAGGGATTGCCTCAGGTGGGAGGAAATGACGTTCATACAAACGGAGAAAAAATGCACTCCCACGGAAGCGAATATAATACAATGGGTAGGGAGCGAATCCGCAGAACTGTTTGGAGGTACTGTCATTTTTCCACCGAACCCTAACAGTCTTTGCTACTAGGAAGCTACACAATAGAGGAGATCACCAGAAGACCGCATCAAGGTGCACTGGGATGGATTTAGCGACTGTTTGACGGGGGAAAATTCGTGCACACGAAACCATCCGTCTGACTTCCATAGCAGTGTCTCACCTCTTTATTTGTTGAATGGAGATAGATACTGGGCGTAGCGAATAAGTAACGCGAGCGGTGACAAAAGTGCAACTACAGACGCAGATTTTGCCTCTCTAACAACCTTACACACATCCCATTCTACAAAGAATTTCTGATCTTTCGATTCCCTATAGGAGGCACCATATTCAGGACCAGGCCACTATTACCTGAAATAGATAACACAGGCACGACTTTTGCACCCTCTGCAAACCAAAAATGACCGCCCAATCGTTCTTATGGCAAAATTTAAACTTGTATTTAAGACGTACAGGCCTTCATTGCTAATATGCAATCCCGTGGAAGACAATTTTCGACCGCTCCTTACGATTTCTGTTAATTTTTTAAGGAAAGGAAATGAGAAAGCATATGACACATCACCATCCTCGGCCAATAAATACTTCATGAGCACATTTATATAAACGTGGTAATTGAGTCGTTGTTTAAGCAGCGGTAGAAGTGTCCCCATTCGTACCAGTTAATGTGTATCAGTATAAAAACTCTCACTTGAATAACTGCGGAGCTAAAACAAAACTAGGAAGCATATCGACCGCATGACGTGAATTCCCGCCAGTCGTCACAGTCAATTCGATTCCGTTCGCGACTCCGTCCAGCAGCAGATTGTCCGCGGCGATCGATCCGCCCAGAGCATGTGCCAAATGATCCGCATGTTCATAGTACGGATTCATAAATTCATTCCCGCGATGGTCAATCAGAGGCCAGACGGAATAAGTCAGGTCTGAAACACTAAGAGGAGACAAACCACAGCATTGGTCATATAGCCACTGCGGAGCTTTAAAAACACCACTGAAAGCAGATAATCACAACTCGTGTTCATGTTATATCGAATGTATACTTATTAGAAAATTTTGTGTGGCTAATGACAAATATGAGCACAACCACTTCCTAGTAAATTAGAGCGAATTTTCATTACATTGCATGAAAAATCCATTCAAATGAAGGACAACATACCCCAAATCTTGACGTTCTTTTTCACTGCAACCGACAAATGTGCCGTAGAGTGCGCCGTAGGCTTCGTCATGGAGCAGTGATAACAAACTGGAGTTGTACTCAAACTTGGTTGGACACAGCTCGATCAAATGATGCACGCAATCAAGGAACTGACAGAAAATTGGCGAAGCTTCACGCTGGTCACTGACACTGATGAGACCGCAACGTTCGGTGAACTTGTGACCGAAAAATATCCATTCCTTCTTGACGAGTGCCTGAAATCAAAGCAACCAAAGAGCACGAGAGAGTTTATGTGAGTCACCCGATAGGAACTACGAAGATTTTGATCGACCTCGTGCAACTTGACTGAAAAGAAAAATATTTTTCAGCTTCAAATATCATACCCATACATCGATAGCTTCTGATATAAAACATTTGTTTGGAACTCCACTTTCTATTTTAGTGTTCTCAGCTCTCCTGTTTCGCGATTTGAATTGGCACGACCTTGGTCGTCACGATAAAAAATGCAGTAGTTCGAAAGTTACTGTTTAAAATTATAAACCATTTGGTGCAGAGAAGCACGGACATCTATTCTTTCTAACCAATGAATATTGTTCCATGAGGATGTTTGTTCTGCTCCATCCGAGTACTTATATCTTTTTCTATGCAATGCAAAGTAATTATACTGGTAAATTATGATACATCATCAGAATTTATTCGAGAATATAAGTGGCTACAAACTGCACCCGCAAAATCTCGCATCAAGAAGGAAGTGAAAAAATATTGCATGAAACGTGAAAGTTAACCTTCGAGCAATGACCTTAAGGTGTGCGGCACGTAGAATATTCATTTTGTGTTGTCACCATGTCCAAACCGGATGATAAATTCAAGAGTTTCTGATACACAAGTGAAGAAGAGAGGGAACGCATAATAACAGCGTATACATCCGGCATTCCAGTTGCTGATCTGTGCAAATGATTCAGTGTGAACAGAAGCACAATTTTCCGTATAACTCACGGAATTTCTCCATTGAGACGTCCGTGTGGAGGAAGAAAACTGATCACATCGGAGCAGGACAACGACTACATAAAGTTGCAGCTCAAAAGAAATTGTAAGAAACCAATATCCAGTATAGTACGGGCAGATTTACCTGGTGGGGATTAAATACGGAGTATCTTGTTGTTGGGCTCCTGTTCATGGTACACTGGACAGTGCGAAATTTGTCTCACTGATCAAGGAAGTTTTCAGTGACTGTCTCCCGGAATGTCTTCGGTAAAGCTTTTACTTTTACAGGACACTGCTCCATGTCATGTTTCACGTGAGGAATGTCATAAAATTATTTAGACTCTAGCATACATTTTTTCATGTTTAGACACGATCTGAAATAGCTACTTCAAAAACAACAAGATACTCCGTATTTAATCCCCACCCAGATCATCAGGCGAGAAGGGTATTTGCTTTTAGTAAGCGGAGGAATGGATTTCTTTAGGAAACTAGGTCCACAGATTACCTTTTTCCACATGGCGTCTTGCTCGTCAACCACCAGACATTCTTCAGTGAAATAAACTGAACGCCGAAAGGACAAGCGACGCGATTTCAATTCGTTATCAAAATTACTGCGTGCCTTCCTTAGTTTGGCGTTCAGTAAGGGCTTCACATCAGCTGATCTCAGCTGTAGATCGAATTTAGCCATCGTTTTCCTAACGATGGCATACGAAAATTCCGGTAAATCTGCCTGTACTATACTGGATATTGGTTTCTTACAATTTCTTTTGAGCTGCAACTTTATGTAGTCGTTGTCCTGCTCCGATGTGATCAGTTTTCTTCCTCCACACGGACGTCTCAATGGAGAAATTCCGTGAGTTATACGGAAAATTGTGCTTCTGTTCACACTGAATCATTTGCACAGATCAGCAACTGGAATGCCGGATGTATACGCTGTTATTATGCGTTCCCTCTCTTCTTCACTTGTGTATCAGAAACTCTTGAATTTATCATCCGGTTTGGACATGGTGACAACACAAAATGAATATTCTACGTGCCGCACACCTTAAGGTCATTGCTCGAAGGTTAACTTTCACGTTTCATGCAATATTTTTTCACTTCCTTCTTGATGCGAGATTTTGCGGGTGCAGTTTGTAGCCACTTATATTCTCGAATAAATTCTGATGATGTATCATAATTTACCAGTATAATTACTTTGCATTGCATAGAAAAAGATATAAGTACTCGGATGGAGCAGAACAAANAATGGTTTATAATTTTAAACAGTAACTTTCGAACTACTGCATTTTTTATCGTGACGACCAAGGTCGTGCCAATTCAAATCGCGAAACAGGAGAGCTGAGAACACTAAAATAGAAAGTGGAGTTCCAAACAAATGTTTTATATCAGAAGCTATCGATGTATGGGTATGATATTTGAAGCTGAAAAATATTTTTCTTTTCAGTCAATTTGTACGAGGTCGACTATTTATATATATATATATATATATGTATATATATATATATATTATATACGTATATACGTATATTTATAGATATATATGCATATATGCATATATGCATACATGCACATTTACCACCGGCTTGTAGACAAGGAGGGTGCTAACGCAAAATCAATAAGAATAACACTAATAGGGGATAGGTGGTTTGGGGTACAGAACGGAGTGGAGAGAGAATGAAACACGGGAAAATGGCAGATAACTGGAATAACAAAATTTTTGTGTTTCACCGTACAATTTTTTACAAATTTCTGTGTTGATTTTACGGGGCACGGGATTTCGACAGGTAAAGCGTACAGCATTCCCGTCACTGATTTCTATTATGGGCCATGTCTCTCAGCGTCTCTAACCAACGACAATCCTCATCCTTTGGGCCCCAACCAGGTAGATGGGCTGCAACACCCGAAACCAAATCTGAAACCAGCTTCTTCATGCCTCTAGCGTATGTCAAACTGGCACGTGATGGGCAGCAGACGGGGTGAAACCCGATAGTCACGGAGACCTAATTTTCATCGACAACGTCAACCCCGGGACTTCGAGTGTCGAACCACTTAAGGCATCAATAGGTCAGGCGTGGTATAGAATAGGCAGCAGTAAAGCAGTCAACCATCAGTTGGGTGGCTCAAACCTCGGATCATCATCGTCATCGTACAGCAAGATACAGTTAAGCGAGCTTCACTGATCGCTGCCAAGCTCACAATGTACACATATCAAGTGATAAAGCACAAGATGAAGAGGGATTGGGCCTACTTGGAAGGAGGCAAAGAAAAAGAACCCCTATGTTCAACACACAGAGCACACAATCTAAGTGTTTATGCATACCTTTTTGCATGCATTCTGCCTTGTAAA